GCCCGTGAAAATTTTGTTCCAGTAAGTTGCTAACTCAGGTGCCGGGGAAGCTAGAAAGCTGAAATTTTAAGGGTATGTTTTCTGACAGTTCTGGCGGTCAGTCTTAATTTGTTTAGCTAGAAGCGTTTGCCGAAAAAACGGTGCCGGTTGCAACAAGAATTGCGGAGAACCATGCACAAAACGCATCTTCGCACTGGCAGCCTGTGCATTGGCCAGTTATTTTATGTAGGACCAGTAATCTAACTTATTTTCGTAGAGATAGGTTTCATGATATCCATAAATCGAAATTCACGGTGTTCCTGTGATTCGGTTTATCTTCGATTTTTATTATAAAGATTATTTTGATTTCTTTTTCAGGGTCCTATTGATTGTGTGAAGAAGACAGTACAAACTAAGGGTTTCTTTGGACTCTATCGAGGATTATCAATATTAATTTATGGCTCAATTCCCAAGTCAGCATTCAGGTAAAGCAATTAAGCTATTATTTGAACTTTTAAACATGATTACCTCCATGGAGTCTGTGAAATTTGCATTAAGTATTAATTTTCTGGTTTAAACAGCTCCCGAAATTTGTCTCTTTCCTTACCATTAGCTGCACTTTGCTCTTTTTTTGCAAATTTTTACGATCTACCACTTTCCTACTCAGTTTTTTTGCATATTTTCATTCCGTGCGGCGAATTTCAGCTCTTCTTAAGTGCAAAAAGACCTTCACTCTCCTACTGCTAATTTCTTCTTTTGTTTTTGGAAAAATGGTGGATGAATTTGACTTTATAGGTTCGGAACATTTGAAACACTGAAAGGCTATGCTGTAGGGCCTGATGGTAATCTTGCACCGATGTGGAGGTTAATGTGCGGTCTTGGCGCAGGTATATATTTAAAATATCGCAGTGTGTAATTACATCCCAAGATCATCTCGTCTTGCCATGAACATGGCCTTGGAATCTTCCCAGGGGGGAAAAAGAGTCTTTTGGAAATTTAAATCTTTCCATCCTTTTTCTGGTATGGTAGCCCCTCCTGGATCAACTGTCTGGTCTATCATGCGGGAGAGGTTTTTTTTCAGTTTTTAAAGCTTATGTTTCTAAAAATTTCCATCACAGTGAAAAAAACGATTCTTCATGTTTGGGTCATCTGTAATTCGTAATCTGTTTCTCCTTCTGTGCAACTGGAAGATTTTCCACTTCTTTAACTAATGCTGGCTGCATCGCCTGGCAATCATTCTGTCGGTGGCCTTGACATTCATTTTCGTTTTTTTAAAAAAATCCCACGAACGGAAATTTTCTTAGCGTGACTAAGAATAAGTTATGTTGGTAGCAAATTATTTGCATGATTAAGTTGAGACATCTGTAAAATTAATGAATTAGAATACCAGGGTACATTTCGGTTATTATTATAGTTTTTTCTCAGTGCTTGTTTATTTTTCCTCTGTTTTTAGGGCTGTCGGAGGCAGTATTTGCGGTTACACCAATGGAAACGGTTAAAGTAAAATTTATACACGATCAGCAGTTGGAAAAGCCGAAGTTTAAAGGTTTCCTGCACGGCCTCAGGACAATCGTCCGAACGGAAGGCTTCAAGGTAAGAAGCAGCGATTTGTAAAAATTACTAGATCTGATTATAAATTTCATGCGAAAAAAGGGAATTAATTTTTTCAGGGTTTATATCAGGGTGTGACAGCAACGATGGCAAAACAGGGCTCGAACCAGGCTATCCGATTTTTTGTCATGGAAACTTTAAAAGATTGGTAATCTTTTGGTTTTTACTGTACACGTTTTTTTCCCGACAACCAATTTTAAACATTTTTTTTGTGGGAAAATTGTTTGATCAGAGCTAATGTCCATCCATTTGTGTGTTCACTGCTTGTCCCTTTCAGCTATTTAGCTTGCTTGAATGAAAATGAAAGGAGCTGGTCAGTGGATCTGGATGTTTTTATGCGTTTTTTGCATCTATACAATGCAAAAACGCATATTGTCGAGGGGTTGTCTGTGTGTGTGTGTGT